AAGAAACGATCTGACTGTATTCAGGGATATCTGTCTATCTTTGCGGAAGGTGTGTGATTTGTATTTCTCTCATTAGATCGCTGGCTATTAAGTCATTCTGTGTTGCCTTTTCGAACTGCTGGCTTAATTTAGAAAAGGGTATCTACCTGAACAGCTTCTAGTTTTATTGAGCACGAATTGTAAAAAGCTGTTACCATAAATAAAACCTCTGCATTACCATTGCAGATGATTATTTCTGCTATTACAGCCTTGAGCCTTGGAAACAACAGTCATTTTATGTTGCTTGCTTTTCTGATAACAGCATCATACTAACCCCACTGCGTGGAGCAAAGCTGTATGGCTCTGAGCCTGGGCTTCTGGAGGAAAAAGCTGCTATAAAGCTAAATCAGAATAAAATCTGGTGAAGCCATTCCTCAGTTGTTAGGTGAAGGTTTCCCATTAGATCCCATCTGCTTTTTACTGTTCCGGGGAGCTGAACATGAAGGATGTTAGCTGCCATTTCATACGAGAGAAAACAAACAAACAAACATTTGAACTTTCATGTTATTCTAGTGAGGAGTGAAAATGTGAGGTGTTAGGTAATGAGGTAAAGCGAGCTCACTTCTGTCTGTGGGAACTCTTTTTTTTTAAAAAAATACACAGGGTGCAAGGAGAAGGAACTTCCTAAAAAACCCCCCGATTTTTTTCAAGGTCTCTTTACACAGTAAAGTCAGCACCTATAGTACCTGGTGTCTGTTTTGTTTATTCCTTGCAAAAACATTAAGCTATCCTAGGATCCACACTTCTTTGTATTAATTACTACAGTAAAGCTTTCCAGGACATAAATCGGTAACTTGAGTCGTTGAAGGGTTTTGCGAGTAAAGGGATGAGCTGGTTCCATAGAAGCGGAGGTGAGAGGAAAGGCGGAACAGTTCCTGGGGGCCGGGAGCTGCTCCGGGGAGGGAGCCAGGGCTGGTAGGGCTGCCCCACGTCCCGTCTTGGTGGGAAAGGGGCCATGGAGGGCACCCAAGGATCGCTGTCCTCCACGAGAGAGCCAGCCTTGTGCACGCTGAGGATCTAGAGAACTCAACGTAAAGCAAATTGGTCACCCCCAGAAGGAAGCATGAACAAAAACCAGCAAGAGCGATTTATTGCAATTCCAACTGAGGCTCTCGAAAGAAGCAGGAAGATAAAAGCAGATGCTAAGGAGCCAAAGGAAAAGGCTGTTAAGGAAACCTCTGGGGACGGGCAGCAGCTCTCCCCTTGGCTATTGCAGGAGGTAACAGCAGCTCAGTAACTGCGAAAAGGATGCCAGAGCTTTGTTAGTTATGGAGCCTCTAACAAGTTTTCTTTGCTGGGTTTGTCCAGCTGCCGTTTGACCGGCCCCAGCACTCCCTGTGACTGGCGGGAAGAAGGGCCTCGGCTGGAGGGCTGCCCTGGGCTGGGCAGCCGGCAGCTTTTAACACCCCCCGACCAAAAGGCAAAGGGCGCTGCTGCCGACATTCATGGTCACATAGGGGCCGCGCCTATTCCCTCCTCACCTTCCTCCTCTTACAGGAATGGCTTTGTTCCTGTACAGCACTCTGCATTAAAATTATTCTCTTAAATCCTAGTTCAACACATCTTCAAATTTCCTTCTTTCAGCTGCAAAATCGCCCTATCCCTGCTTTCCCCCCAGGGATGTGGCGGCACGACAGTTAGAAGCCAAAACACTAAATGTTCTTTTCAGCTTGAATTTTGTGGGCAACATGAAGAGTTCAAGCAAACTGCTTTCAGTTTAGACAAAAAAACATCAATGGAACAACATCATTTGAGTAGTTTAACTGTACTACCTCATGCTGAGCAAATAACAACAGACAGAACCGTTAAATTACTGATCAAGTACTGCATTTTAAAAGGAGAGAACTACTTTTTGAAGGGACGTGTTATTGAAAGCAAGAGGTGAACACACCTGGATCCTGCTACGGAGGCTTCTGCTGCTTCCGTAAGGCAAGAAGAAAGCAGCCGCTTCTCACAGACTTGTTTTTCTCCAATGACAAAAGCCAGGAATTCTGCTCCCGACCAGCTCCCTGCTCACACCCTGCCATCACCGCTTCTACACTTTGTCGTCTGCGGCAACGTCGTGATGTTCGAATAGAGGTCTTCGTTACAGACCTTGGGAAATGATTTAGACACCACCAAACTAAAGCATCTATCTTTATTTATAAAGTAAATTACAAAAGAGAGATAAGGTAAACTTAAGTGATTTTAGCATCTGAAGGTGGTTTTCATTGAATACATAGACACTGTAAATCAAAAGCTTCCTTCATTCATGTGTTTATCCAAGTAACAGAGGAATTGTTACCTTGATTAGTCTTGCAAACCTCTGATAGGAGTGTTTTAAAAAATCAAATTCTCCCTACCTTGCAACATAAACATTTCAAAAATCATGACCGGTGACGTCAATTACCTATTGAAGAGCTTGTGAGTTAACTGCAACCAGCTGCGTTGCTTTGGGGCTTTGTGAAGGCCAAGGCCAATGTGAACGGACGCTTTCCATGATAAAATGACCCGAGACAGTGAAAGGAGTAACTCTCCTTAATGCCCTCGTCTTGTGCTGGCTCTGAACAGTCATTCACAGTAGGAGCACGACGTGATGCAGCTACGCAGATGTAAACGTGACAGATAATCACAGAATCTTACAAAAGGATCGGGCGTTTCTTACTGCTTTGTAGGAGAGAGGTCTGGAGCGGCAGCATGAGGCTTCGTACAATGAATTCTCCTTTAGGGAAGAGGTGAGGGGGAAAACACGCTCGGGACGTGGCTCTGCTGGCTGGGCTGGGGTCTGTGCACCCACACACAGTATTTTCAAGTAAGACAGCTTACAGTGTCTGGTTTGGGCCCCACTCTAAAGCGGCTCGTTGTAAATGCCCTCGCATAATCACTTAACCAGCTCTCACCATCCTCCAGATTAAGCTTTCTACCTCCTATCCTCATCTACCTAGGGCAGGATTAGGGAGAAAAAAAAAAACAAACCAACAAAACCCAACATGCACATAACCATGTCAGGCCAAACTGTTCATTATTTAAAACATTTGCTGTGAAAAAGCTGAACTTTTTTACTGGCTCGAACAAGCATAAAAATGTTATGTGCACTCTTGGTATGGCTGGCAACTG